AGCGAGGGACAGCCTGGCCATGGGGCACGTCACCCTCAGGAGGGACTCCCAGAACTCCCTTGGGACCTCCATTAGGGAGAGTTGCTGCACAGTCTTGATGGCTTGATAACACACTGAGCCTGGACTATTTTATTAAGTCAACAGAAAATGGACTAACGCTCCTTGCTTGCTAGAGATCAATGTTGACGTCACTGCAGGACTTGATCCAAATGCACACTTTGCGCCTCCAAGTCCTTTGGAATCACAATCTGGATTATAACAGATGTGTCTCTCTTGCAATTTATGAAAGCATTAGCACAAGTGAGACGCTGCTGTAAATCCTTGTCTCCGCAGTTTGGCTGCTCAATGTATTGACCTGCGGATATCTTGAAACTCAAAACGTTCAAGCCACACTCTGGAGCAATTCATCAGGGTCTCCATCTGGGAGACTCAAACATCAATATTTTTCCAGATTCCCAGATGAATTCAACATGCATACAAGTTTTAAAGCTGTGGGTCTAAATTCAAACAAAATGAATGTGGGTGAGGAAAAGAAAATAACTACTGAATGAATAAATTTTTCCTACATTCCTCAGATGCACAAAATAATATGTTGCTTTGCTCTTTTCTAATTCTGAGAATGCTTGTTTGAGTTTGTTGGGAATGCTCCTCTGCTGCAGCTTGAGAGCTTCCCAGTGTCCATAGCTATAAGCCACGGCATCTATGCTACATGAAAAGAGAGCGTGCCACAAATCCTCAGGCCAGGCTCTAGAACAGGCCCAGCACTGGTGGCGGCACTGTGCGAGGCCCCTCCACAGGCCTTTGTTTGGCCTCAGCTTGCAGCATAAGGGAAGGTGGTGAAACCTTCCAGAGGTTGAGTGTGGTGGAGGAAGCTAGGCCAAGGGATGGGCCCTTGAAGACAGCATGGCAAGCCGAGCCTTCCTTGCACATCCTTGCCTTCTGGATGCCACAAGGTGTGATTATGTTTCACTATGTGTTCCTGCCATAATCTCCAGCCTCATCCCAGGCCAAGTGACAATGGACTGAAACCTTTGCATCTGTGAATGAAAACCTTTCCTCTTTTTAACTTGATGTAACTAAGGTATTTGTTACAATAACAGAAACCAGGCTAATACACATAATAAAAGTCCGAAAGTATTACTTGAGTAGGGAGGGCCACAGGGACACTTTCGGGGAAAATGGAGGCATTTTAGATCATCATAAAACTCAACACTTAACATGTGATCCTTACAGCACATAAATTATGCTTTTTTGAAAAAATACATAAATATTGGGAAAAAATGTTGGGATAATCAGAGTCGAATAAAAGAAATGTATCAGATTAATTTCAGGCCAGCCAGTTAGCTCATCAGATTAAAGCACATGTTTAGGCAGACACAGGGTCCAGGGGTTTGATCCCCAGCCTGCCATGCCAGCCCACACCCAGGGCGTGCAGAGGCCTGATTGAGGTTGGCTATGGTGGCGCGCACCTATAATCCCAACGCTTGGGAGGCTGAAGAAAAGGAGAATCAGTATGAGTCTGATCTGTGCAAGTGAAACCCTGCAGGCCCTTTACTAAATACATAATAATAACAAAAAAGGGTTAACTTCAAAGGAACCCAAGATCCTGCGGAAAGCTAGGCCATAGAATAACTAACAGAAATACAGCAAAATCCATTGTGACTTTAGATCCGACGAGGCCTTTCTCTGTCATTCACTGGTTTATCGACCACACAAAGAGACACAGTCACATCTTACTGATTTTTCCAGTGTTTGTTTTTCTTTATTACAGGCCTACAGCGCATCATAACTGTGCTCCTGTGGGGAGCTGGCACCTGAACCAGGACCTTTCCTCGGCCAGTCATGGCAAAATTTTCAGAGACGAGGACCCCAATTCAAACCCAAACTCAGATGTTTATTGCAACATGCGCACACTGCAATTAAGCCTGAATACTGAGGTCTTAGTTTAGACAAAACAATTCTTACATTGGCATCTTTTTTAGAAAAGAGAAAAACAACACACACGGCATAGACTCGCCACCCCGGTCTAGCATGCGAAGCAGCACTTTACCCCCAGAGTGTGTGGCTCGCTCTCAGACTGGCATGCAGCGAGCACTCCAGGAGCTGACGTGTGCCCCTGCAGCAGAGCTGAGGCGACGGTGCTGGGCCGCGAGGCTGGGCGTCCATGGGCTGGGAACGCCTGCTGGATCTGATCAGGCCTGGCGAGGTCAAGACTTTAAAAGCAGCTATTACAGAATTTGTAGAGAACAGTTTAGAGACGCTGGTGGGGAAGAAAGTACAAAGATTAGTACAGAATGTCGCTTGGGTGCTGCCCTCCGACGGAGGGGCGCAGTCAGAGAGAACTGTCAGCATCCGCCCTCCGAGTGCCTGAGTTCTGTGTCCACACAGCCAACCAACCAAACAGCAAGAACATTTCTTTGAAAATCTCAACCTGTACTGAACGCACACAGAATTTTCTTATTCCTGAAAGGATTTAGTATAACAGGAATTCGCACGCCCTTTACACTGCATAAGTTGCTATAGGAAATACAGAGCAGATGTATGCAGGAGGCTACGAGCAAGTTATTTGAGGGCTCTAAGCCATTTCCAGGGACTTCTGCAGCTGGCGTTCTGGGGTCCTGCTGGAGCTCTGGGGCCTACAGATGATGCTGGTAATGATATAGCACTTTTAAACCTTCACAGCGATCTGACACACTGCAAAGGTTTTTAAGCTTTGAAGCGATAAAATAGCTCACCTCCTTGTTGGCATGGGAAGATAAATGAGCTTTCTAAATATTAGCTTGATAAAAGACTATAAGCTGATGCCCCATTTTGAATGACACATAAAAGCTAGAAATCACTTCTAAAAGTCTAAAAATATTGCTTATATTTTTACACAGTCATTTTATTCCTAGAAATTTATTGTAGGTTTACTTGTAAGAATAGCCATGAAGATTTTGCAAGAACCATATATTTCAGCATTACTATGCTGGAAACCACCTTATGCCTTAAATAAAACATAGTATCTCCACATAACAAAACCCTAAATGTTTGCTTAAAGTATTATGCATTATTATTTATTGACGTCAGCTAATGTTCTCTGCAAGACGAAGCAGAGCGTGCATGTCGGTGCGCACTGCACGATCTCACCTATGCGCTCCCAGACGCCCACTTGCCACAGAGGCTCACACTGTCATAATGCAGAAGCCTCTAGTGAGTGATGGCAAACATTTTAAAGCTTTTAATGATACAAACCCCTGCTGTGGCACATGCGCCACCGGCTCACCGCCACTGCTCTAGGCCAGTGAAGTTTTCTTGGTTGCCTTTGGGCACTGGGACATACAGAGCTATAATAGTTCTTTATTTAGTACTGTTGTATTCTCTCTCTCTCTCTCTCTCTCTCTCTCTATATATATATATATATATATATATATATATATATATAGTGTAAAAAGTAGAACTCTGGAACAGTGAAAATATTTCAAGTATAAAAATATGAATTAGCAATTAGGAGGAAATAAATTATAGAAGTTTTAACTAAATCATAAATTCAGGGGCCAGGGAGATGGCTCAGTAGAATAAGTGCTTGCCCTGGCAAGCACAAGGGTCTGAGCCCAATCCTCAGTTCCAAAAAAAAAAAAAAATCATAAATTCAGCTCTGAGCTCCCCAATAGCCAAAACTGAAAGGGAAACACTCAGCTTTCTCATTTTCATTTCTATGAAGATTAAAATATATCCTCTATGAAATGTAGTTGGGAAAAAAATCTCACCTTTGTGTTGTATCTTGACTGTATTAGTAGCTTCTTTTGCTAGAGGTTTTTCTTTGTTTTGTTTTTTTTAAATAAAATTACCAGGGATACAGCTCAAAAGCACAGTACCTGGCTGGCAAGCCCATGGTTGTGAATTCAATTCCTGGTACAAAAAATACTTTATAATTAAAATGACACTGCAGTTGTTGATTCTTTTCAATAATTTCTGGGAGATCAGGGCTTTGTGTCTTTGCTTTGCTTACATCTGTGTCTTGAAGAGTATACCTATAAACCTTTCAGCAGATTTAGTGTCTCTGTTTTAATATTCAGATCTTTCATTCATTTCAATTTTAGTTTAGTGGGTGGTGATAGAAATTGGTCTAGTTTTAATTTTCAGCTTGAGAAAAGCCAGTTTTCCAAGCAGCATTTACTGAAGAGGCAACCTTTCTTTCCAGTGGCAGCGTTTAGATGCTTGGTCAATGATAAGGTAGTTGAGTGTGTTTGGAGTTGTTTCTGCATCTTCTAATCTGTTCAATTGACACGTGAATCTATTTTTGCCTTCCTGTACTGTGATTTTTTACAGTGGTAGCCTTATAGAATAATTTCAGGTCGAGGATTGTGATGTCTTATGCTAAGCCTTTATTGCCCAGAATTGCTTTTGTTATTTTAGGTCTCTTTTGGGTCCAAATATATTTTAGGATTATTTTCTGTAATTCTGTGAGATATGTTATTGATATGTTGATCAGGATTGCATTAAAATATGGATAAAAAGTTTGGAAGTATGACCACTTTCATTACATTGATTGTCATAGTTTGGTGTTCTTGCCAGGAAAATAATATAATACAGGACACATTTTATAATAGTATTTGATAATGAATCACCCAAGAACCATATACAAGGAGTTCAGGAAATCTGTCCACATACATAAACACTAAAGACTCCAGCTGAGGATCTAGATCCTAATATTCTGCATGAGTCCAGCTGAAAACCTAGAGCCCATAACTGCCTCCTCCAAGTCCAACCAGAGGCCGAGAGCCACAGGAAAGTCTCATGCAGGTCTGTTTCATGGACCTGTGCTGGAAAGGTCCCACAGTCAGTGGTGGAAGCTAGGAAATCTGTGCCAGCGGGATGAGAGATCTGCGCCAGCAGGCTGAGGGAGCTGAGCTGGAGCTAGGAAGCAACACTCAGGGTAAGCAGCAGAGCACTTCCAAAGGTACCACAGCTGTCCTCAGCATCTGTGAGGTCTCAAGCTCCTCCAGTGATGAGGAAAGCCAAGTTCCCACCAGAAAAGCCAATGTGAAGAACTTCTCCATGAGGCTGAACAGTGCACCATCTTCCCCTTTGGAGCCAGGAAACGATGCCCAATATGAAGACCCAAGCTCCTCCAAAGTTCATCTGGAAGGCCAGCGCGACAAGGTCCCCCAGCAGAACAGCCCAAGAGAACTAATAGTTTCCAACAGTCCCAACAGCTTCTCCAGTCAGCATCCCCAACAGCATTTTTGGCAGTTCTCCTGTTCCCCATTTATGCTGCTGGCAACAATCCTCAGGTGGGCCTCCTGCACCCAGCACCATGCTGGTTTAATTCAGCTGGGTGTGGTAAGTTGACCCCCAGTTAAAAATCCACGACATTGATTCTTCCTAACCAAGAACAAGCATATTTTTCCATTTTCTGATATCTTCTTTCATCTTCAGTGTCATCTTCACTTCCTTTGGTACACCAATTCCCAATTATTTCATTTTTCTTGATGCTACTGTAAAAGATGTGGTTTTCTTAGTTTTTCTCTCAGTGCGTTATTTGAGTACAAGAATACTATGGATTTTTGGATATTGACTTTGTAGCCAACTGTGCTACTCCATATGGTTATTAAATTAAGAAACTGTTTGGTGGAATTTTGGGGGTTTTCTGTGGTAGAGTATCATGTCATCTTCAAATAATGATAATTTAACCTCTTCCTTTCCTATCCTCAATTCTTCTCATTTTTTCTAATTGCTCTGGGTAATGGTTGCAGAACTACATTGAATAAGGCAAAGGACTAATATCTAGAATATATAAAGAACTCAGAAAAGCAGACTCCCAAATTTAAAGACCCAATCTAAAATTTGGCACTTGAAATGAATAGATACTTTTCAGATGAAGAAGTAGAAATGGCAAGTAAATATATGAAAATGTCACTGTTCATTTGAGAGATGCAAATTAAAACAATGCTGAGACCGCATCTCACTCCAAAAAGAATAACTATTATCAAGAAATCAACCAAGAACAAGTGCTGGAGGGTCTGGAGGAAAGGAAACCTTCTCCACTGTTGGTGGGAGTGCAGATTAGTGAAACCATTATAGAAATCAGTGTGAAGATTCCTTAAGAAACTAAAATTAGAGGTTCCATTTGACCCAGCTGTTGCCCTAAGAATTAAAAATGTCATACCATAGAGAAATATGTGCACCCAACACAATTTGTTAGAGTACAGTTTTGGAAACAGCCCAAATGTCCATCAGAGGATGAATGAATAAAGAAGATGTGCTTTATAAAAAAATACAATGAAGTCCTACTCTGACATAAAGAAGGGTAAACTTGAGACATTTCTAGGTAAATGAATGCATCTTGAGACCTTCTCTTCAAGTTAAATGAATTGGACACATGTGTTTGAATATCTCGTCGTTTTTCTGGTGTGAGACACTGAAAGTGTAAATGAGGACTAAAATGTGTGATCGATATTAGGGAACAGGAAGAAAAATGTTCAAATGGAAAGGGGAACAGGAAAGGAGGGAGAGAAAAAAGAAAAGCTGGGAAAAGAGCATAGGAGTGAGAAGGCGGAAGTCGAGCTCATGTAAATAGGGAGGGGGCGGGGCTGAAGGCGGGGCGGGGTTCAGGAAAAAGGACTCAAGCTGTGCGCGCGCAAGTGCAGATCTCCTGCTGCGGAGAACACGACTGCTACGCATGCCTGAAGTAATAGCAATGACTTTAATTTTAAGACCTAGCTCCTAGAGAAGCAAAGCTGCAAGGGAACTTCCTACCTGGGGTGTCTTGCAGTCTTCACTTCTCGGCTTCCTCAGTTGTCAGTTTTGAGTAAAAGAAATGTGTTGGTGCATTATTGTAAAATTTTTAGCTACATGGGCGTAATATCTATTTGAACTTCAAACAGTATGAATGATAGCCATTTAGTAGCCGAAGATGTTCACAAATATCTGTCATAAATTTATTATTCTTAAGTTCAAAAAGGAGAGTTTATTTGCAACAAACGGAAAGTACATACTATTTTTACTTTATTTTTGCTTTCACTTTTTGATTTTTTTCTTTCTCCTCGCTGACTGCTTGTTCTTTTCTTCTGTAGTGATACTTGCAGCTATGCACAAATAGGCCCCGTAAAAGCCGCTTGAGAGGTCAGGCACTGAGAGCCATTTCCTGCTTTGAACAAGCAAATGCTATCCGGATGGCCTTCCTTTCAGTGTCGCTTCCTCATTGCTGCCTCACTCCGCAGCGCCATAAGGCGTGAGGGATGGTCTGATTCAAGTTTGGTTTTTTCCTGGTTTGGTAGAGAGTTTTAACCAATTTCAGAGTCAGAGCTGATAAACCATTTCACTTCAGCTTTCCTCTTTTGCTGTCTCATGTAATGGATTTCACCGCTGATTTCTGACAGAATCGGATGAGCTCGCACCCTACCCCCTCGCTTTCAAATCTGGGTTTACTTCCAAGTGCAGTTGTATGAGTCGTGCCTCATTAGGGAAGTCAGCGGCTGTGCTGCCCGGCACAGCGTGCACGAGCGCGCAGCGGGTAGCTCTTGGCGGCGTCTGCAGCGTGCTGCGCAGAGAACCCTGCGTGTCTGCGCAGGACTCGAAGGTGGTTTGTATCTTTAAAGCGAACCTTTGCAGTTAGGTCCAGTACTTCGTCTTTATCCCTGAGAGATGCAGCCCAAGACCCCGGCAAGTGTTAAAGCGCAGCTTATGCCAACTCCCCACCCTCCACATACTCTTCTCATATCAAAACACACCTATGATGAACTTTTGTTTCTAAATTAGGAACAGTTAAGAGATTTATAGCTAAAAATAAAATAGAACTCTTAACAATACGCTGTAATGAATTATGTAAATATGGGCTTCCCCAACTCCAGATACCTTATTGCACCACAAAGTCTAGCAGCCTCAGCGTGTGAGCTTTGCTTTCTCTTCTTAAATCCAGAAACTTCATCCCTCTTACAGGAAGCACCTTGTGGTCTCCTTGGGCAGACGCTCATGGCCAGCATTACTGCCCTGTCCCGGAGCCACTGAGACATGAAAGAACGGTTATGTGGACACAGGCTCTGGGATGCCCGGATAATCAGTCTAACAGCCCTGACAGGCACTGAGTGATTAATGAGGAGTAGCACATGCCATGTGACACACTGCAGCAAAGGGTCTGGTTGACAGGTTCGTGTGGGATTTCATCACAACACTCAGAACAGTATTCAATTTAAAATTTATAGGGCTGGCCAAAAAGCTCAGCAGATTGAATTACCTGCTTGGGCAGACTCAGGGGCCGGGAGTTGGATTCCTGGGCCTGCTGTGCCAGCCCCCCACCCCCGGCGTGCTGCAATCGAGACTGGGCATGGTGGTGCACTCCTGTATTCCCAGCACTTGGGAGGCTGTAAACCGAAGGATCAGTGCGAGTCCAGTCTACGCAGTGAGACCCTGTAGACTCTGTCCTAAAATACAAAATAAAAATGAAAAAATAAAATTTATAAATTTTCCTGGAATTTTCCACTGAGGTTTTTTGAATTAAAGTTGATCCTCAGCAATTGAAAGCATCCAAGCAATATTGCAGATGGTGGTGCTGTAACCTGGTAGCAGAGCAAGTTTCATCTTGCAGTCTCAGAGCTTCCCTTTCTGGCCCAGTTGTTTGGCCCAGTCACCCGACGAGAAGCATTGTGAGGGTCACATAGAATTGACACTGTTTTCATGCTCATGTTTGCAAACATGCTCCACAGAGATCTACACATTTCTCTAGCATGCCGTTAAGCGCCTCATGAATCACACACTTGCCTGCACCCACCTGTGTGTTGTCACATTCCCCAGCTCGACTCTGAAAAGTAAACAATACTGCTTAAGGAAAGAGAAGGCACAATTGCACTGGAAAGCAAAGCTCCTCTAGTTGCCACTGTCCAGCTCCCAAGATGCATCTCTTGAAGCAAAGGAAACAACAGACCACCTCCTTTCCTGCTGCAGCACTGTCCCCCAAAGGCATGAACTAGAGAAAGGGCTTCGGGCCCATGTCTCTTAGAGTAGGGCCAACGCTGGAGGGTTCACGGAGAGGGAAGGTGGTGCTCCAGCCATGTGGACAGAGGGCGCCTTGATTTCTGAGAAAGCTGCGTGGTGAATGGACGGATGGACCCATCAGATCCCACACTAGCAAGGCAGTGAGGTTTCAAAGTTGGACACAGGGCTAAGATGGAGAGGAGGACACAGAGAAGCCGTGGCCACAGGGAAAGTGGGGAGACCCTGAAAGGCGTGGCTCAGAGATAGACAGCATTTACATGGAAATAGACCTCAAAAAAGTGGCCATTTCTGCTGCTGAGTCTGTTTCTTTTCCTGCCTGTCCTAACTGTAAAACTTGATACCACTAAAACAAATGGGAGTTTAAATATTTTGACCTTTTTGCTCTTTTGCATGCAGCTTTATGGAGACAAATATAATAATTTATAGAATACGCTCATGCATTAATGTCTTCTGGGGATCAATTTCAGGACCCCTTCCACACACAAGCACCAAAATCCACCAGTCCATGTACTCCTCTGTATTCCTTCTCTAAAGTGGTGTAGTGTCTGTACAAAGTCTCTAACATGTACCCATGTACCCTAAGTCACCTCTAGGTCACTTAGAATATTTAAAACAACATGAATAGTATTCAAATAGCATTTGTGTAATATTGTTTAGAGAAAAATGACAAGAAAATCATCTTCTATATTTAATGCAGACAAAAAATTGTTCTATATTTTCAATATACAATTGATTGAATTTGTAGTTGTAGAACCAAGAGATGCAGAAGGCCTGTCATCTATGTCAGTCTCCTAAGGATGTCCTAATAAAGTACCATAAATTGAGGGCAAGAAGAGCTCTAACAACAGAAACCTCGTATCTGATAGTCTTGGAGCCAGAAGTGTGAGGTTGCAGGGTCCCCATGCTTGGTTTGTCCTTCACTTGTAGAGGGCTGTTCTCATAGTTGTCTTCACCTGGTCTTCCTTTTGGACAATGTGTCCACCTTTCTTTGTCTCAAAAGGACAGCAGTCAGATTAGGGTCTACCAAAGGTCTCTCATTTTACTTTAATTACCTTGCTAAAGGGTATTCCTAACCACTGTCACCTTCTTGGGTACTGGAGTATAGGGCTAGAGCATATGAATTTTGAGGGTACAC